TATATATATATATATATATATATATACTAAAAATCGTTAACATCCTACTCTGGAGCACTCCATCAGCCGAGATAAAATAATCTAATGATATCAATTTCCACGTTTTTAGAAGAATTTGGAAAGTAAACAAACACTTTGAGTTATGAATTGACGACAAACCTGGTTGGTTTGTAGAGTATTTATACTTATTTAACATCTGGAGAACAGGGAACAGGAGAGTGATGAGGTAAAACCTTTATTGAATACCCTAAGTACGATCATATAGTCCTTGACATAGATGAATAAATTGATGTATCAGTAATTGCTAAAGTGTGGGGAGGAAGATATCTTCTTAAAATGTTGTTGTGAAATCAATGTTTTTGGAAACAGTACGAAAAAAAATCTCTATTTGACAGATAATTTGAAGTGTCCAGTTAAACTACTGCATAGTGTAAAGTTGCCTTGGTACAGTAAAATAAGAAAGGCATAGCTATTGCTAGGTGCACGTAATATAAAGGGCAGTCTTAATGTTTTGGTTTATTTTTTCATGAAGTTATATCGCAGTACTGTTCCTTGTTAAGTGTTTTATACACCTGTTACAGGACAATACTGTATATAGACAAGTTTTGCTCATTAAGATAACAATGGCAATTACAGTCGTTGTAATGTTGTTTTATGTCTCTTCTGACAGCTACATATTATAGTATATTGTAAGAATTTAGAAGTAAGACACAAATACCATACTAGCGGTTGATTCCATAACACTTTTATACCAGAACATAGTTCTTTGCAGTTTAACTGGAGTTTGTTTTGGTTTTTTAACATTTTATTCTCATTCTCATGTGAATGTATATTAAGTTTAATGAACACTCAGGGCCAGAAAAAACATAAGGTATATAAGCCAGAAACACCGTTTAACTAACTTGTTAACAAACAGTGTCACATACTTTATATATATAGCTTATCCTGACTGAAAAATTTCCAAGGGCGCATACAATCTGGCACTTTTAAAACAATGAATTTGTGTGATATAAATATGTAGCTAGGCCACATGTGTATATAATCACAGAGCTACTTAATAGCTAAGTGGATCGATCCTATGTTAACTTTATTTTTGTAAAGTTTTATTGCATACAGGTTTCACAAGCTGTTGTTTACAATAGTCTGTGGTATTTGTTAACTTTATTTTTGTAAAGTTTTATTGCATACAGGTTTCACAAGCTGTTGTTTACAATAGTCTGTGGTATTTGTTAACTTTATTTTTGTTAAAGTTTTATTGCATACAGGTTTCACAAGCTGTTGTTTACAATAGTCTGTGGTATTTGTTAACTTTATTTTTGTAAAGTTTTATTGCATACAGGTTTCACAAGCTGTTGTTTACAATAGTCTGTGGTATTTGTTAACTTTATTTTTGTAAAGTTTTATTGCATACAGGTTTCACAAGCTGTTGTTTACAATAGTCTGTGGTATTTCTTTGTCTTAACACATGTTTTGAGTCATCTTGTATTTCTTACCATCTGATGTAAAAGTAAATTTAGTAAAATCACTTTTTTTAATATCATAACTAGAATTAAGACTCGCAGACTCGCCAGCCATATGACGTATGAGTATAACACTTCAACAGGGTTCAACCTTTATGTAATTCGCCCTAGTGAAAGATCAGAGTACGGAAATATGTAATTAGCCACTTGACATAATTAGTCCTTTATATGTAGGACTTGTCAGTTAATATGTGTAAAATAATCTATTTTATGGACGTAATCTAAGTAACAAAGCCAAGCATATGGTAATATTGAACTTTTACCCTGTAAGACACAATAATACGAAATAGATTCAGACAATTAATCCTGCAAAACAGACTAGGTGGCGAATAACTGCGACAAAATGAAAAACCAATTGTAAATATAAGTAATTGAATAATTTTAGCCTGTACTTTATAAACAATAATAACGCTGTATAGTCACATTTGCAACTTGTATGACCAATATTAATCGGTGGGTTGTAGATGTTCGGGAGAAGTAAAGTCTTTCAACTCCCCCTTCCACAAATACCATTGCTAGCCTCGTGGAAAATTGTCATACTTGGCAACAGGGTTGTATTTTAAAATAAATCTGAGGATGGGGGAACGGGATGGGAGTTGTAGCACATCTGTTGCCTATTGTCTATAATAGTTCCATTTTCTCTTTTAAACTCCATGACATAATATTGTTAGTCTTGTACTGAAAAACAAATCTTTAGTTATATTCTACGTGACACTTAGCTGTATTACAAATATTTCAAATGCTGTTGTATAATCTTCTCATTTCCAAAGTTTAATTGATTTGAGAGAGACTTATTTGTAAGCTGTAGAGAAGATAGGTTCCCCTGCTAAACAGTACAGCTAAAACACAACTGGCAAATTTAAGCACTTTTTTTTAGCAGTTAATAGTTTACTCAACAATTCAACTAAAAGTACTTTGCTAGTTTAAACAATAGTTTGAATTACACAATATACGGATATACAATAAATTTACTTTTCTTTTCATACGTTTTACACCATCTGATAGTCTAGTAGTTCTTCCTCGTTGCTGATTTCCAGCCAACCTCGCGTGTTACAAGCGATCCATATCGTTAGGTGCCTATTATCAGGCCCGGCATGGCCAAGTAGTTAGGGCGCTCGACTCGCAATGTGAGGGTCGTGGGTTCGAATCCCCGCCACACCAAACATGCTCGCCATTTCAGCCGTGGGGGGCGTTATAATGTTACGGTCAATTCCACTATTCGTTCTTAAAAGAGTAGCCCAAGAATTGGCGGTGGGTGGTGATGACTAGCTGCCTTCGTTCTTTCACAGCTAAATGAGGGATGGCTAACGCAGATAGCC